AGAAGATTGATGGATAAAAGCTAGCGTCTAGCTCACTCCGCCCAGTTACCTATTCCTAAATTGACCAAATATCGGACTTAACGGATAAGTCTCAAGGAATAGTCAGGGAATTTGAGCCAATGAGAAGAAAGAGGCCTAAACGTCATGATCGGAGGAAAACTGGCTCCCTCCGCCAGAAACGTTATCTTCCTTCCTTGGAATCCTTGGCGACTTTGCGCACTTTGTTTACTTGAAGAATATAAGATATAGCAGATTTTTAAATTCATTAGAGGAAAAATATTTATGGTTGTACTGTTACATCCATCTTTAATTTTTAAATAAATCTTCATTGAGCTCAATATATTTTAAGCATAATTCTTTTACACCTTAAATTAGTAAATTTACAGATTTAGATTTTATCTTAAGACTGTATGCCATTAATTTTGAAACTGGCACCCCCTTTTATGTTATTGACTTTGAAATGCTCCTTTTTCTTCAGTAACGCATATTTACATCTATTAATGGTTGGAGATTCCCTGTGAATTGTTGGTTTGCACTTCAAACATGCATGGTTTGCTATATTTCGCCCTCTGTTACTAAAAGTAATTACTGAAGTTTGTACTTGCTAGCTTTACTATTTTCTTCACTTGAAACTCTTGATGGGTATGCATTTCAAATCTTTTCCCAAACTATATAAAATTCTGCGAAGTTAAACATTAAATTTATGTTAGTAATGCATTTTGTGAGCTATTTGTATATGTATGATTAATGTAATGGTTTGCTATATTTTATATTAAGTAATTAAAAATAATTACAGAATCATATATGTGCTTTATAGCAATGAGTATTTTCTTTATTTGAAATGCTATGTATTAAAATGTTTGTGTTGTGACTATGCATTTCGTATGAAGAATCAGTTGTAAAATTGCTGTTGTCAATTGTGAATTGCAGTATGGATATGTTGCAAAATGAATAAACTTTAATATATTTGAAGACAATGATTAGAGTTCGCCAACACAACACAAGCATATGTACTAGTTCTTAAAATGGAATGTTTTGTTAATTTAAAGAGCTCCTACCGCTATATTGTCTGTTATTGTATGCTGATATGGAAATAAGAAAAAACACTTTTTAGAGAAGGAAGCTTTTGAAACTTCTCTCACTGCCCCTGTTAAAACTTGTCCTAAATATCCCTATACCCTTCTGAAATAGTTAAATGTCATAACCATGCCCATCTACAGTGTGCCAGACAACTGGCGAGGGGTGTTCTTTAGATAGACAGACTATGCTTGAGTATCAACTACAGTAGACTCGTAATGAGCCTAGAACTGATACTCTGTGACGATCTCCTGAAAGGAGGAGAGTGCAGAATCAAGGGGATTTGTGGTAAGACCACATTTCCTTTTGATTTAGGCTCATTCTTTTCATTATTAGGTTCCTTTCAATCATCAGGTTTTTCCTTTTGATTTCTGCTCATTCACCCAACCTTGAGTCCAGTTGTATTATACTTGTATATAAATTTCAAATATAAGTTTATGATTATTCTAATTGATATTGTAGTGTAGTTTGTTTAAAAAAAAAATTTTTTTTCTTCTTTAAAATTTGTTTTAAGCTGATTATTTGGGATTGTTTCTTATAGAGGACTAGGCATTATCTGACCATTCCTGAGAGCACTGTTTACTGTATTTAATTAAAGTATTAAAAATAATTTAGTCTTTTGAGATTTTTCTATGAGCAAATCTTGGAAATATTTTAAATATCATTAGTTTAATTCCTAAAGGAATGAATATTTTCGTATACATTAAATATTTCTTCTTAAAAATCTGTGAAGTTGTTAAATTTTTTTGAATCAGTTAGTAAATGTTTTGTCTTTATTTTTGCTTGAACCGTTTCATTGTTGTCTTATTTTTTACCTAAGATGTAAGTTTACCTTTCATTAAAATCTTTTAAAAATTTTTATTACAACATGTAGGATTTTAATCTAATATATATTTTATTAAAATTGCATCTAAATTTCATGGTTTGTATGCGTATAAACGAATTGAATTAAAAAATATTTAATACTGAAAATAATGAATTAGTCAATGATAGTTTAGAATTATATTTATTTAAGAAACATTTTTTAGAGGTCATTGAGGCATTTTGATGACATTAGTACCTCCTGTTTATACCTAATAGTAGAAGCTCTACTTCAAGCCTTTCGTCTGTCAGGTAAGAATTTTTTCTTTTTTTAAATCTGAGAATGGAAATTTTTTTAAGTCTTAGTCGTAAATGTGTGTTGTATTGAATTGTTTTTTTTTTAATGTCCTGTTCTGGATGGTTTTATCTGCCCATTGTTATATATTAATTTGCATCGGTACATAAATTTTTATAAAAATAAAAAAAAAAAGAGACATCACAGACCAATAATATATTTGAATTGTAAAAAGTATTTTTATTTGAATCTGTTTTGTAACAATTGGCTGGTGGCTGGGTCGCGTGCAAACAATTTCCCTTTTTAAATCCCTTCACAAATGATTATTCCCTAGCAGGTGGTAAATGGATGAAGAGGAGTGACGTAATGGTAAAAGAGCATATCAGCGAATGCCAGAGGGCGCTGTTTTTTCTCCCTCCTTTTTGACAGCCGAGATTCTCTCAGAATATCATACCTGTATATCAATAACTCAAAAAAAGGAGAAGCGAAGTTACTGAAGAAATGAGTTTATTTAAAAGGGATTTTTATTATAACCACGCAAGGCCAAGTGCTGTCAATTTTTTGGCGACCTGTTTAGATAGGTCGCCAAGGGGTAGGAGGAATTGAATTAAACTTTCCCTCGGAAATTTCTAATTAAACTTCAATTTATGGTTATCGATTTCTAAAAAAAATAATTATTAAAACTGAATACATAATATTTTTTCTTCCAATATTTAAACATTATAATACTCTATACAATTTTGATCTTATTTAAACCAATTAAGCAAAGTAAATGGTGTTTTTTTAAACATAAATTTTAAGCAAAATCATACGAACTTTAAATTTATATTTACTTTCTTAAAGAAACAATAATTAGTAAAAAATAAAGATGCATTATGTCTAAATTATACACTATAAAATTTTTAAAATACTGGGAAAGAAACTTACTTCATTTACGAATAAACATCGAGTCGAAAGAGAAGGGGAAAAAATAAACAGTAATTTTTTTAATAGCAGATCTTAAATTAACAAAAAAAGGAGTTTGAAATTAAAAAATAAACTTATATTTAATCCGAATAAGATAATTTTAATAAATTAGTAATTCAAATAAAAACTCCGACAAATAAAACAGTTTGCGAAACTTTCCACACAGCCATATTGAAAGAGAGAGAAAAAGAGGCGCGCTTTTCTATCGAACCAATCAAAACATTAGTTTGGCGTGTTAGGCGGGAAACTTGACAACGCATCACGTGATCTTTTTCTTCGAAGGCATTCCTCCCACAGCTGCTCTGGGGGAAAAATTCATCAATGTCAAAGTTCATCTTCTAGAAAGGACCGCTCTCTTTCTATTCAACTGAAGCAATCCCAAATTATCACATGGCCTTCAATGGGACTTAGAGGAAATTTATTACCATTGCAATACTGAAGTTATGCTTTCATGACTGAAAAAATATTCCTTATCAACTAAATTTTTTATAACTTAAATTATTTCGTAATAGTAACTTTCATCAATAATTAGGGTGAATAAAATTCAAAATAAATAAAAAAATTTTATAATAAGAACATTCCATCAAGTGAAAAAGTATCTATTACGACAGCGATTCCGAAATTTTATCTGATTATGAAACCCTAAATGATCCAACTTCTTTTGACGGAACCCCGATTTAGTAAATGTAAGAATTTTACGCATGTAACTATTTAAAGTGCCTTATGTAAACATTTAATGCATTGATATACACGAACTAATTTTCAGAGGTACTAAATAGTTTAAAAATTATTGAACTCCTAATAATTAACATTTCAACATATTTTTCGTTCAAATAATTTCTCGGTATTAACTTCTGTTTCGAATTCTATAGATAACACTTATAGTCTTCAATTAATTATCAAGTAGAAGTTTTATCTAGTGCCAATAGGAGAGGGTTAATAGGTTCAATCATTAAATTTTTTTTTCTTGGTTTTTCAAAAATCTAGATTCTGATATTTTATTAATACTTTAGCCTCGGGGGGGGGGGGGCCAGGAAGGAACTGCCATGTAATAAATCAATGATATGCATTTTATTTCAATAAAATTGACCCATCCCAAATTTATCAATTTTTGATCTCAGAAATAAATATTGGGTAGGGTCAATAAGGTTCATATAATAAACTAGTTTTAAAGTCCTGCTTTCACGAATTTGCCTTTCCCCTTCTATGACTTCTCATTTATTAATTCGATATAGCAGATTACAACTTTAACGGGTTTTTATCAAAAAAGATGGAAATCGTGCACTTTATCGTTGTTGAAGATTGATATAGTTGCTTACCAATCTGCAGTGGACATTAACCCATTTTTATTACATATTAACTGAAACTGAAAAATAAAATTAAAAAAATTTCTTTTTTATTAATCATTTTCGAATAAGGTTTCTTAGTTTAAGAAATTTTAAATTGTTAATTGTTAAAAGTCATTAAGAGTGGTGAAATACGATTCCTCTAAATTTTTCTCATCAATCCCACAATTTCAATTGAAAAATACTGATGTCGGTGAAAATGTTCTTTTTTTTCGCATTTGATAAGTTATTTATTTTCTGGTTGTCTTTCTTTGAAGATTGAAGTCTTTCGAATTTTCTATTTTGAAGAATTCAAATAATAAAATCAATAATACAGAAAGTTACATTAAGATTGAGAAGGAGGACACATCCATAAAATAATAAAATAAAACAAAATTTATTTTTAACATAATAAGCTTATTTTGGGAAATTTTATTATTCGTGCTTACATAACTGAAGCATAACGGAATAAAATTATCTATTGGTAACGGTCTAATATGTTAAATTTCTTTCCGGTTGAGTTCCCTTACCGACAGGCTAACAATGGACGGTTTTTCTCTTCTCACACAAATACGCCTTAGTTTTAACTACAAAATTCTTCACGAAATCGAATTTGGTCGACTTGATTAGGTTGCTGGGCTTGACTTAGGAATCCTCTTATCTTCTAGGTGTAGTTGAAAATTACAAGGTTTAACATTAACAGCTGCAAAATAAAATATCCATCCGACTAGCGAAAAATTTGAGTTTATGCCTTAGGTAGCTCCCATCGTCCATAAGTTACGCCTGTAGTTTATACATATATACACCTAGATTTTTTATTTTCCTGTTTAGTTTTGAATAACCGGACCCAGCCAAATTTTAGGACCCGCTACGTATTATTAGCACTTAATTATTATTGTATTATTAGCATTTATTTATGACGTGTTTAAACTTCAGATGTAGCCAATAATTCCAAAACCCTTTGTTTTTCCAAAATTAAAAATACTGAAGCTGAATAGATTTTCCCGAATTGACAAATTGTTCGGTTATTTGCGGAACGGATCAAAATACCGTGTTTTTTATTGTTATCAAATCAGTAAATAATTCTTTTCTTCACAAGTTGACTCCAAAAGTTGATTTTCTCAGATAAAAGTATTTAAATAGTATTCATTACATCCTGCTTCACTTGTAATCTTTATTATTTTTATTTTGTCACGCTTTATTAAAGTCATTTTTTTATAAACGTATCTACACGCACTGTAAGATAGCCTATTTTGAATCTTCTGTTTTTATGATATTAAACTATACATTTATGATATAAATTAATCTTAGCCAGTGTTATTTTTATAACCATAAGTTTAATGACTACAATTAAGATTTATAACATAATTTACCCATTTGTAAAAATATAAAATTCTGTATATTGTATATACCGGTATATAAGTCGACACGCTATTTTTGATTGCGCGCTTGTAATTTTTGGTATGTCAGGTGTATAAGTTTACCGTTGAAAAAACCAAATATGAAAATTTTTAAAACGAAAAAACATGAAAAAAAATTATTAAGTCTTAAAGACTATTAAGTCTAGAAAAAATAAACTATTAAGTCTATTATCTGCAAAAGTTTCTTTAGTTAAAAATATTTCACATTGTACTCACTCGCATTTATGTTACATAAAATGCTTTGTAATTATTGTAAAATCTAAAAAAAAATTTGGAATTTTGAATTCTTTGGATGAGGGTGGTGAAGATTTTAAGTGGAACTCAGCAGTTTAAATTTGAAGCTTTAGGGTATTTTTTTAAAAGTTTTTTCATTGTGTTATATTTTTTTAAATAACTTCTCTTATTTAAATTTTTCAATCTGAAAGTAATTTAAAGTACGGTTTCTGAAAAAAAAAATTATAAGTACAATTTATTGCAAGCATTTTAAGAATAGAGTTGTAAAGGGCAAATTGATACAGAGTTATTCATATCTATCTCATTGAGTGAAATGCATCAATATTTCATGATCAACAAATGTCCGACTTTATTACTGGTGCATAAGTGCCTGATTTACGTCAAATTTTGAAGGTATGAAAAGCCTTATTTCTTTTATTATTATTTCTTACTCTTTGCTTTATTAGGGTGACCTGGGGTAATTCCTGATCAAAAAATGCAAACATCTATTTTGTGAAAAAACTATTCAAAATAGAATTTTAATATTTACTGGAAGTTTGAGGCTATATGAGATGAGTCCTATGCCACCTTCTTTTGTTTGAAAATCTAATTAGAATTTAAAAGATTTTAAATTTTTACAGTTGATTGTCTTAATAAAGTATACTTACAAATAAATTTCTTAGTATAAGAAAGTCTATTTTTTTTTTCAATTATATTTTTTAGATATTTTAACTCTTCTTTCTTCTCAATATAAAGTTTATTCTATTAATAATTTATGCTTTTTCCAAAAATAAATCTAATTTTTTCTACTTAACAAAGTCTTAACAATGCGCGGATACTTCGTATTTACTTCACCATTTTTTAAAAAACCCATGCAGAAATTTTTGATAATTTTTTTTACAATTAATCGTTTTATATATTTAGTTTATCTTTAAAACAGTTTTTCATATTTTTCGAACCATAGTTATAGAGTTAGTAGTTGAAATTTTCGACTCCAAATTTTCAGAAAACCAACCACCGACTTATAATGTATTGAAATTTTCATTTAAGCTTAGATTCAAAACATGCATTTGTAAAAAATATTAACGCACA